TTTTTTTTTTTTTTTTTTTAAGGAATATACGTTTACTTGGATCCAGAATAGTCTGAGTGGGTCTTAAGCTTACCTGTAGAACAGTAGCAAACTGATTTAATCCGTGGTTTATTAAAATAGCAAAACGAACAGAAATATAAGGTTCACATGAGACAAGGTATGAAGAGACAAATAACAGCTTTTTTTTTTTTCTTCCCATTGCAATTCTTGCCACCAAGCATCCAGTGCCAAGCACGTTGTTTTTTTTTTTTTCTTCTGCCCAGCGTCACCTCTAAAATCTTTAAATACTTCAGCTATTCTGTACTAATGGGACGAAATTCGAGCATCCGTATTTCAATACCTAAACAGAGAGTCTACTCTATGTAGCTGCTGGGACAGTTTTAAATTGGGCTGGACGTTATCTGAGCTCTCTGATCTAGGCAGATGCGAGAGGTGTGGACCAAGGACGGGGAAGATCCGGGCAAATCTTTAACTTGCCGTGGTTTCTGAAAAAACAAACAAACAAACAAACAAATAAATAAATTAATAAAGAAAATATGCCCAGGCTGGAAGAGCCACTATGAATTACTGGGTCTGTAGTCTGGACAATGAGGACTTAGAATGAGGATGAGGAAGGTCGTTTTCACCCTTCAGATATATTTCAAAGGCCAATTTTTGCCTGCCAGGGTTTGTAGATGCCTGTGCTTACGCAGCGTTTTTCTGGTCTTGATGCTTGATTCTTAACATAAGTTTATAACAGAGTAGTTGCAAGGGAAATGACGTATTTTTATGACTTGAGTGGTGTTTTCAGGAGAATTTCACAGACAAAGAAAAAGGGGACATGATAGCTTGATTCTCTTACAGCAAAATGCAAACAATAATTTTATTCAGAAAGGGCAGCCACAAGTCTGTGCAGCTCTTTGCAGGGGGGGACGTTTAATGATCGGTAAAAATAACTGAATCCTAATAAGCCCTACTGATCTTTTTGCTAGATAGAAGGTGAAGAGATCAGGGGGCTGGAGCCCCCCCTGTGAGGACAAGCTGGGAGAGTTGGGGGGTTCAGCTGGAGAAGAGAAGGCTCCGGGGAGACCTTAGAGCGGCCCACCAGGGCTGAAAGCGGGGAGGGATAGGACAAGGGGGAACGGCTTTAAACTGTCAGAGGGGAGATTTAGGTCAGACCTAAGGCAGAAATTGTTCCCTGTGAGGGGGGTGAGGCCCTGGCACAGGCTGCCCAGAGAAGCTGTGGCTGCCCCCTCCCTGGCAGGGTTCAAGGCCAGGTTGGACGGGGCTTTGGGCAACCTGGGCTGGTGGAAGGTGGCCCTGCCCGGGGCAGGCGGTGGCACTGGGTGATCTTTAAGTTCCCTTCCAACCCAAACCAGTCCATGATTCATTTACAGCCTTTTCAACTAAGCTGCTCTTGTCTTTCTCTAGGTCCCGAGTCGGAAGACGTTGGGAGCAGCATGTCCACGTTAGAGCGTTCCCTTGCTGCCCGCAGAGCCACCCGTGCCAAGCTCATGATTCCCATGGATTCACAACCAAACAACCCTCGTGAGTACCAGGACCTTCCCCAACCCCTTTCTGCAACCCTCCCGAGCCGTGCTCGCTCAGCTGAAGATCTATCTCACACCATCTTTCAGATACGATCTAGTTATGCCTCAGGAAGTTAAATAGCATTAGCAATGTGTTCTCCATCAAAAAAAAAAAAAAAAAAAAAAAAAAAAAAAAGGCTTGGAAACTTGCCAGGGCTTCGCAACGCATCAGCGGAAAAACTATGGAGAGAGTTCAACAATCATCCTTCTGGCTAGACTCAGCGCAGGCTAAGCCTAAGAGCCATCAATTCTGGTTTTAGGTGGATAGTGATGGATAATTCCCTCTGTTTCCCTGCTGTAATATTTTAAATGCGGGGGTAAGAGTTCAAGCTGCCAGAGCACAAGGCTTTGCAATACACAGATGAAAATTGGGATGTTATTATTATTAATAGTAATTGTAATCAGCTGGACGTTATTGTAGTTTTATGCTATATTTTGTCTATTGTAGTTGGCCACGCACATTAAAAAAAAATATGGGGTTTTGTTTGGTTGTTTTGTTTTTTTTTTTTAATATGGTGCAGCTCTCTTAGAAAGCCACGCAAATGAGGAGCCAAAGATTTTTTTTTTTTTTTTTTTTTAATAGGCGTTCCATTTTAGTGACCACAGTGCATTTCTCATTGACCAAATTGCATCGGTGGAAGTGAAGCTTTTTTCAAAGCAACCAAGTCCACATAAAGGCCGGAGAGCATTAGATGGGTTCTCCCATCCTGCAGAACTTCTCAGAATTTCTGAAGCGAACTTGTTTCGCATCTGAGCAAAGGAAAGGGATAATTGAGAGCCTGTAGGCACCGGGGTTTAGCACTGATCAGATTCCCGGGGGAGGATGAGGCTTTGGGTCTACCACCCTTCCTCCGAGCAGCCCCTGCTCAGACTTTTGGTGCCTCTCAGCTCTTAGCTAGAAGTTCTACCTCTGACCTCATAAAATAGATCCGATCAAAACTCTGTAGGAATTGGTACATCTGTGTCAACAAGTCTGAGGTCAGAAAAATGAGGATATATACCGACAGAAGTCCATTTCATCACAAAATTTCGGCCTAGCTCTGACGGGTGAAATCTATTTGTGGGTTCGTGGAAGGGCTCATCACACATTAAAAAAAAAAAATAGAAGGAACAAAACGAAGGAGAGGAAAGGGAATAACCTACCATGGCTTTGTTCAGTAAATTATTTAGTAGGAGCAGTAGGGGTTCCCTTAATTTGTGTTCATCATGGGTGCAGTTCAGGTCATGCCTCAGCACCCAGCCCTTCCAAGGATGCCTGGGGAGAGACTTTAATTCCAGTTTTTCACGTTAGGCTGGACATACCACCACATTTCAGCCTCCACCCGCTTTTTCACCTGGAAGAAAAGACTCTGGGTTGAGGCAGAGGAAGCTCTTACACCAGCTGGCCGTGTCCTGGGAAATATTCCCATCTTGTAACCACAATAACATCACAATTGGGCGATTTTCCCCTTTTTTTTTTTTTTTTTTTTTCCAGTGGGATTTCTCCTAGCTGGGCCTGGGTCAAAGGACAGTCCAAGAAAATGAATAGACTCGGAGTAAGCAAAATCAGACCCAAATCCATCATGATTACGATGGGTCAATAGCAGGGTTAGTGAAGCAAAAGTCAACATTGTCCTACAGCTGAAAGATAAAAGTGCTCTTAAATTTATCCATTTTTTTTTTTCCGGCCGTATGATGCACTTGGAGGAGTGATGTCCTCTTTTCTATTTATATTTACAACAGCATCAATCTAATCTACAGCGACAGCATATCATGATTGTTTGCAAATAATTAAACCCAGATTTATAAAAGTCTTATTTGTGCAGGCTCGGTTACGTTGGATACGTTTTGTTTTCTTTTTTCGTTTTTTTTTTTTTTTCCCTGGAAGAGAAAATTGAGGCTTTGTCAGATTAGATACTTTAATTAGTTTCTCTCCGTTTGCCTGATACTGAAAGAAATCGTCGGCAGTGAGCGATTAAATAGATTGAAGGAGCAACATTGTCATTCTGAAGTAAAAACCACATACAATTAGTTGTAAAATACCAAATCTGGAAGGATTCGCGCTCTTCTCCATAATCGGTATTTGCAGTCTTTGAGAACAAATCTACTCCGTAACGCACCTTTGCTTACTGAAGTGGAAGGAGCCATAAACCAGAGAAATTTGATGAGATTTCCGTGATCTTTTTGACGACTCTAATGCTGCTGGAACACAGGCAGCCACAACCACCGAGGCTGTTGTACGGAGAGGAGTATTTACCGAGAGAAATTATCGAGAAAGTATCACATGCAAGTATTGTACCTGTAATTCCCCTGTTTGTAATCTTTCCTGATGGAAGACGAAAAGAAAAACGTTCGCAGAATGAATCCAATTTTTTTTTTTTTCCCTGTTTATCCCCCTCTCTAAAATGGCAGAAAATCACAATTTTTTTTTTTTTTTTTTTTTTTTTTTTTTTTTATTCCTCAGGGAAATATGAACACATCGACTCAGTTGCTTTGACAGCCTCTGGAGTGCTTGAATACAATTCAAACTGTCCTACTTTGTCATTTCTGTAAGCTGTTCTTGGGTGCTGCTTTTATTTTTTTTTTTTTTTTTTCCGTGATACAGTACATTTTAAATGTAGACCAGTGTTTAGGGAGCTCCATGATTTGGTCAGGGAATTTCTGCTTTCAGTGTCTTGCTATATCAATATTAAGTGCAAATTCAATTGCTGACAGGCTATGACAGAACAGATTTGTTGTCGTCTCTTCTTGAAATAGCAAAGATCTGCTGAAAATGTCTGATGTTACCTTTTCTCTGGCTTCTCTACAATAGAATACTGCAATGAATAGTAATCCTGTCTTATTTTCAAAACAAAAGCGCTCGGTATCAACACCCTAAAAAGGAGAAATGGACTTTGAAAAAGAAGTTGGTTTTTAACAGGATTCAATCAAGAGCGATATTTTTCACTGGAATGGCAATGTTATAAATATTGCCAATAAAAATGTCTTATGCAGCCGCCTGAAGAGGAGAAATTCTCTTCTGAGAGTGGGTGGATTGAACCCAGACAACTCTGAAGCTCCAATCACCCAGCTTAACATTTTTTTCTCGAGTTTTCTTCATCTCCACGCTTGCCCGTTACCTCGGGAAGCGCAGCCTTGTCTCGTGGAAAGCCGCGCGCTCCGAAATACCCTCGTAAAGCCTTGGCGCTGCCGTGACTTCTGGTGTGACCTCGGGCAGGCAGCCCGTTTCACCACCGTGTAATGGATGGAGTAGGAGGTAGAAGTAGTTGCAGTGACGATCTTAACGTTCACAGCGTCGTTTGTAATTCGTGGGTGAAAGGGGCGAGGTAAGCCAAAGCTTATCCTCAATGCTTACCGTTTAGCTGGGCAAAACTTTAATGAGAGCTACTAAATTTTTTTTGTTTTCCTGAAAGCTTACAAAGACATTTTACGATTTGTAGAGCGTTATTACCACCCACTCTTTGTGGAAAATAAAGGCAACGACTGACGGGAAAGCCCGAATTCATCACGCCGTGATGCTGGTTTTCAAATCAAAGCTTAAATTCAGCTTAAGAACTCGACTTCAACTTCAGATTAAGGCTTTGCTGGCACAGCGCACCCCCCCTTTCTTAGAGGCTTGGGCATTCCTGAGTGAGGAATGACGCCCAGCCAACCTCAGCTGATGGGTAAACACGGGGGTCCTGTGACGCTGAAGGCATCGGAGGGTGTCAGGGATGTTGGGGTGAAGCTGGCAGAGGAGACGGAAGAGTTTGAAGAGCCCACATGACCCCCAGAGCAGCACCTGAGGGCAGCAGGCTCTCCTAAGGCATCAGAAATGGCACCAGGGACCAGGACTTAGACAACTGAAACAATCGCCCCAGCCATTCCTTCTCATTTATTTGTCAGGGGATATAAGGCCCCGCTCAAAATGTGGCTGTAGAGCTGGACCACAGACAAAAAGCTGTTTCATTTTACAGACAAATTGCAGAGTGCACCTGCAATCATCCAAAGAGGCGTATTTCTGTGTACAGAGGTGGATTCTGGGGGCAGAGGAATGTTTTACACCAAGCGTTCGGGTACTTCGCTGTGGAAATGTCGCTGTTTCTGGTTCCCTATCGACCCTCTAAGGACTTCTTTTTTTTTTTTTTTTTTTTTTTAAATATTCCAAACCCGCTCATTTAATCTCTCTCTTCTTCTTTCCTTTTAGCCGTGGTCAGTGCCATTCCAGTGCCAACACTCGAAAGTGCCCAGTACCCCGGGATCCTGCCGTCCCCGACCTGCGGGTACCCTCACCCACAGTTCACCCTTCGGCCGGTGCCGTTCCCGACCCTCTCTGTGGACAGGACCTTTGGAGCAGGGAGAAGTCAGTAAAGTGCTTTTCTTCTGCTCTTTTTGCCGTTAAAATGCTTGGAAATGAGTTGCTTTCTGGCATTAAATTCTCGCCAACGAAAACAATGCTGGTTTGGGGGGAGCCAGGGGATGTCTGGTAACAGCAACTGGCTGTTCTCCACCAGCAGCTCCAGTTGCAATTTCCAATCTGTACTGAATGCTTTAAAAGTTAAAAGTCACGGCGGCTCTAATCCAATCCTGTCTTTTCTGCAGGTCTAGTCAGGCATTTCACTGCACTTTAATTTCCTTTGCTTTATTCATAAGGATCTTCCCAGAAAAAAAAAAAAAAAATTAAAAAAAATGCAGGCTTCAAGGGCTCTTCTTCAGGCAGAATCTCGTATCATCACTCATGAAAATCATCCGTGATAGCACTTACGCGACCTCTCCACACAGTGTCTTTCCAGGCTCAGCTGCCCTTGCGTCTAGAAACATTTCCTTCAATATCCAACTCGCTAAAATTTAAGCCAATCGTTTCTTGATTCGATTGTAATGGGCGTAGAGGATAGAGGGAAAAAAAAAAAATATTTTTCTCCCTTTCCAAGATCCTTTCCTACATGTGTATAGCATTAGCCCGTCTTGCACCCCTGGTCTGTTTGCTGGAGCGAGCTCTCTAATTCCCATTTGTTCCTCTGCGGGGATAGGTTGGTGGTTTGTGTGATTCTGTTACTCCTCCTCACCTCACGGCGGCCAGGGGGAAGCACACACACACGCAGCACGAGCCCCCAGCCTCACCTTCACAACTTCCTTGGAAGCCTCCGCTGCGCCAGCAGCCATCTGTTCTTTGTTCGAGCCTAACGAGCGTGCTCTGGCATATTAATTAGAGTTGGAGGGATCATATTTTCCTATCGTTCTCCCTTTACCGCATATCAAGTCTGAATTATTGACAGATTGATGTCAATCTGCCACACCTGATTTTTTTTTTTTTTTTTAATCACATCGCAGAGAGTCTGTGCTGCTGGTCCACGGGGAGCTCATCTTGAAATGACTGATTTTTCCTCCTATTTGATTGTGGCTTTCAGTCACTTCAGACAGATCCTCGGGGACCGGTGATTGAAATCCAGTGGTGGGGTTGTAGGTAAAAGGTGGGTTCAGGTGTTCTAGTCATCCCCCTAACGCCATTTCCCCTCTCTTCAGTGTGGTTGCTGAGTTCCTTTCAAAGCTAGATGGCAATTTTCTCTCCAGAGGGCCTCGCTTGCATAATCAGGTTTTGATCTGCTGCTTAAATTAATACCAAACCCACCGCAGATGCAACGCACGGAAACAAAGTAGATTCAGTTTCTTGCTTGACATACATTAGATGTTGGGGAGTAATAATAGAATTCTCTATCGTGCGCCTCATCGCGGAGGTAGAAGCCAAAAAAGAAAACAACCCTGAAGATTGAATTTTTTGCTCAGGCGTCATCATCTCGATCTGCTGATAAAGGAGCTGAGCACCTTCAGTCCTCAGATCCAAAGTCCAGCTGTGAAAGTGCGGGAGGTTTCCCAAGTTCTGGTGATGCCTCCAGGGGTGCAGGCAGCTGGGTGGATTCATTTGCTTTCCAATCCAGGCAGCTTTGTTAGCCAATTGAACATAGATTCCGGTGTGGGTTGGGAGAAATCCTCTCTAGTCCCACTGATTTTCTCAAAATGTCTCAAAACCCCTACAAGTCAATTCCATAGAAATTATTCAATGATCTCAACGGAGCGGTGGCTGGGACCCCCCTCCTCAAAATCCCACATCCCTGGTGCATTCAGCTTCAGCCACTCACCGTACACCTGTAGTAGTCTGGAGGTGAGATTTTCAAACAGAGGAATGTCTTTGAAATCCTGTTGGACCTGGGGGGAGATCTGTATACAAAGGCACGGGTTTGCCCAAGCCTTTCAAGTGTGGCGTGTTTGCGACTTGAACAGAAGATTGCTAATATACACAAAAGTTTTCCGCAAGAAGCTCGAGTGCAAACCGGCTTTAATTATTCAGAAGACCTGATGGGCCTTGAAAAAATACTCAGGCAGTGAAGAGTTCAGATGATTGGGGAGATTTCCCATTAAATAATTCAAAAGCAGTGGATGTTTGCCTAACGGCTAGTTCACATGATGGAGGGTAAACAAGACTGCGTGGGGTTTCGAAATTTATCTAAGCCCGTTACAATGCGCGATGACAACCTGTTACAACCCCGTGCTCTCTGGTGAAGGCTGTTGACTTCCAAAGCTCCCAGCTCATAGAAAACGCCGCCAAATGAAATAATTCTCTCCCTTCGCCGTGCCTTCCATTTTCACCACCACGGCAACGAAGCGATAGGCACAGACAAGGACGTTGGAAATAGTGTTTGTTTTCGAGTGGGCACTTGACGCTGTCAGAACCAGCCAAGCAGTTCGCTGGGTTTATGTAACGGCAGTGTTCGTTACTTTTCAGACCAAGGAGGGATGAAGGGATATAAAAGTATTATTTCTAACGTGATGCCTGAAGCTTTTCTCAGCCCCGGTGCTGTCGATGCCAGCGCTGGCGATGTCAGCCCGTCTGGAAGAGCGGTCAGTCTCCAATGCATCCGACCAAAAAGCAGCTGCTTCCTCATTGGCTCCCCCCCCTCACTGCCTCACCGACCACCCCGCTGCAGCAGAGAATGGGGATAGATCAACGAAATTACTCTTAACGCTTGGAGTTTGTTTATTTGGGGGGGCTGTTTCCTTCATACGATCACGCGGTTGAGAGCAACTTGCGGTTGAAGACAATACGTAAAGCTTTCGTGTGTGTGTGTGTGTGTGTGTGTTACCCCTCAGGGATGAAAAATTCACTTGATACTTGACCAATTGCAGCTGTGTCTGAGGAAGAAATAGCCAGCAATAATTCCTCTGAGACAAGAGCCTACCTGAGGTCCTGCATGACCGAGCACCCTATTGATCAAGAAGTAGCAATCCCTGAATAAATCAGACACCGTGCCATTAGCGGGGGTGTTGCTCGGCATCCTGCCGTACAGGCAGGGCTCCAACACTTCCTTCTGGTTCTGAAGGCCTTTTTCATTGACCCAAAAATTAGAGTGGCTGCAACGTGTCTTTAGGACAAATGTTCTACTGAAGAGGAAATGGGGAAAAAAAAAAATAAAAATGGAGAGGCAGGCCCCAGCTAGAGCTGGAATAATAAACCGTCTTACTTATTTGACTACCAGCCATACAATCCAATGGTTAAATATAACTTTTTTTTCCAGACAGAGGACTTCTCTGAGCTATAATAAAATGCCTGTTGTCTGGTCAGCAATCCTTCCCATGGCTTGCCTTCTACTCCAGAGCTCTGTCACACCCTCTGCTGAGAATTTTATGGAGGCAGCGAGGAGAAGATGGTGACGTGCCTGATTTGTCATGTGTTCCAGAAGGAGGGGCATGTAGGGATAAGACAAGGGGCAATGGCTTTAAGCTGAAAGAGGGGAGATTTAGATCAGACCTAAGGCAGAAATTCTCCCCTGTGAGGGGGGTGAGGCCCTGGCACAGGCTGCCCAGAGAAGCTGTGGCTGCCCCCTCCCTGGCAGGGTTCAAGGCCAGGTTGGACGGGGCTTTGGGCAACCTGGGCTGGTGGGAGGTGGCCCTGCCCGGGGCAGGGGGTTGGAACTAGATAATCTTTAAGGCTCCTTCCAATTTGTATTTCTCTGAAGAGAGAAGATGCTCTTGTTTTTTTCCTCTACCACAACTACTGGAGATGCTGAGCTACCACAGTCTCCAGTAGGGAAAGACGAGAGCTGGTTGTAAACCTTCTCCCACCTGCGAGGTCCTGAGGCGGCCCCAGCCCCATCCTGTCCCATCCACACACAGGTCAGCGTGAGCAGATCTGTGTTCTGGTCCCATCCTGATCACACTTTTACAGGAGGCAGAGCACTTTTTGTCGGGCTCACCCTAAACTGGTCTAACAGCACCATTTTTAGGAGGCGTCGGTGTATCGCCCTAACACTCCACACGGTGAAAACTTGGGCACGTTTAGAAAGTATGTAGTTTTAAGAAGAAAGATTATTTTTCGAGTATTAAAAAGATTGAAAACTGGGTAAACCAGACCAATAAAACAACAATTATATTAACAGCTTGAGATAGTCACAGAAAAGCATTATGGAATGGAGATAACTACATAATCCGTTAAAGTGAGAGGCACTAACGGAAATATTTCCTGAGCACATTTCCTTTTGGAGCTGGCTCTGCGGTGAGCTCATCCACCTTAAATCCCTTCTACCAGTGAAGCTGCATTCTGGACTTTGTGTAAATTCTAATTTTTATTCAACAGTCCGCTTTGGGTTCAGCGGGGGTTGCAACTTCTCACAGAAGTGGGATGAGAGCTGTACTGGAGTTGCTTAGCCCCTCACTTCCTCTGTTCTCCTCTAGAAATGGAATCATCAGCAAAGCAATTTCGTGTGTGTGGGTTTTTTTGTTTGTTTGTTTGTTTGTTTTTTTTTTCCAGTAAATAATTATTTTGATTTAACCCCATAGGATTTAAATATGGTTTTGCCGCTTTCCCATCATTCAGCTTTAGATTAGTGATTTTTTTAAAAAAGTATTCCTCCAAAAATGTTCTTTGGGATGTACGTAAAATTCAGTGAGAGGAGTAACCTGACAATAATAATGCTAAAAAAAAATAAATTAACGCTTGTGCTACCATATCATCCAAAGATCCCAAGAGGAACGGAGGCCTTGTCAGCATCATGTGGGTGTATAGTCTTGGTCACGTGATATTTACAACCTGTGTAAGTTCAAAGATATAAAGTCATGAGTAAATAAGGAATAAAGTTCAGTCATTTTAAGTCCCCGTCCACCCCCACGTGCTTTCAATAATTATTACACTTTGTTTTCAATCTGCACTGACTTTTTCAGTACCTTGGACTGTGGCAGAGCCAATAGCTACGAACCCAAAGGGGAACGTTTCCTTCCGTTGCTACTTAAAGCAGAAGGTACACAATGTACAAATATGCTCAGAGACCTAAATTAATTGCTTAACAGCATTGTACCAACCAACAACTATGCAAAACCAAAGGGAAGACCAAAGGACTCTGTCCACGATATTTATTCATCTGCTCGGTGTCCACGGCCACTGGGATTCAAAGCAAGATTATTCTCAGTCTTCCTCACGTCTGAAAGGAATGCGAGTAGGGTTTTCGCCAAGGTTTCTCCAAAGCAATGAGGCCCTAATTGGTTTTGCTGGGTTTTAGAATCACGTATAGCGAAATATTTTCCGATATTCAAGAGCGAAAGATCACAACTGGAATGCAGCTTCATCTTAAAGGTCAACTGGGAGTCTACTTTCTATTTAAAAAAAAAAAAAAAAAAAAAGAAA